TGAATCGTTCACAGATCGCCCACTTCATTGCTAAGAACTCTAACTTCCCAGAATGGAGGTGGTAATTCTTTTCTGGTGAAGTTAGTGTTCTTGACCCATAACCTATGACCACAAGTTTGCCTTGTTGTCTCTGGTACAACACTGCACCGAGGCCTTCTTGAGAAGCATCACAGTGCAATACGAATGGTTTTTCAAAGTCAGGGTAACCTAATAGGGGAGGAGACAGCAGATACTCCAACAGCTGGCAGAGAACATCCTTATGATGTTTTGTCCATTCGATTGGATGGCTTGAAGGAAGCTGGTCTGAGCTTTTGTGCCTTCCCTTATTTGTTTTTGACCCTCCTCCTTTCACTACCTTTCCAGGTTTCTTTTCTGTGCACATCAGGCTGTACAGGGGCTTAGCAGTGCGTGAGAAGTTGGGAATATATGGACGATAGTATGATAGGAAGCCCAACATTTTCCTCAAATCACCCACTGTTTTTGGTATGCGGTCTTTGAGTGCTTGTACTGGTGCGATCTCAGCAGGATCCATGCAGTAGCCATCCTTGGACACAATCTTTCCCAGAAACTTCACCTTGTCTTTGAAGATTTCACATTTTTTTGGCGTTAATTTCACTCCATAAGTTTGATAACGACGCAACACCTCTCTCAGGTCGCGTAAATGATTCTCAAACGACTGGCTGTGGACCAGATTGTCATCCAAATATGGCTGAGATGTTTCATCCCTAAGGCCTGCGAGGCACTCCTCCATACTGCGCTGGAACTCTGCTGGAGCCGAGGACAGGCCAAAGGGAATCCTGATCCACTCATATAATCCCCAAGGTGTTATAAATGCGGTTAGTGGTCTGCTACTCTCCTCCAGGAAACCCTGATGGTATGCCTTGCCCTGGTCCAAGACAGAGAACCATGCACTTCCATTCAGGTTATTAAGCATATCCTGCACTCGAGGGATAGGATGACGATCCGGAATGGATTTTCGGTTCAGCTCACGATAATCCACGCACAAGCGGAGGCTCCCATCTTTCTTGCGCACACAAACTATGGGTGATGAATATGGAGATCTGGACTTTTGAATCCAACCCCTGTTCAGCAGGTCTTCCAGATATTCCTTCACCTCCTTAAGAAGCGGTTTTGGGACAGATGTATAAGTCCGTCTTACTGGGGTTGTGTCGCTCAGCCTGATTTTTAGCTGCAGGGATGGGATGCACCCCACATCATACTCATCCTGAGAAAATGCATTACACTCCTCATGAAGCATCCTCCTTACATCTTCTTGCTGCTCAGGAGTCAGGTGGTCAATGGGCACTGGCGGGTCCCACCGATCATGTTTGGATACTTCAGGCTCTCTGTGTTCTCCATGTGGCTCATCAGAAGCTGGACAGTTGCGGTTGCTGTCAGGTGAGATTATCTCTGTTTCCTTTTCACTTGCACCGACAGGTCTAGCTTCTACTGGATAAACCGCTTTAATCTGCTGCAAGTATCCCACTACAGTGCGGGGTATCAGAGTAATGTCTGAATGACTGTCGTTTGTGACTGGGATCGATACTGCTGACCGGTTTCCTGTTTTCAGACAGACCACTGTTTTTAAGATGTTCAAACCCTCAGGCCATTTTGGGACCACCTCAGGCTCAAACAGCACTTCCTGTCTTTTTGAGAGAGGGCCCATCCTCACACTACACTTCACCTCTTTGGTCTGACCCGCAGGAATCACTGTTTTTAGACGTCCAATTTTCACCATAGCTTCCTCATTATTTTGGTGAGCTGTTTTTACTAGGTGAATTAACACATCTGCTTTTTTGCAGTCAAATGAGAAAGCCTCTCTTACTGCTATGGATGTGACACCAGGGTGGTGCTCCATGCCATTCTTTACTAAATGTTCAATTACATTATATCCGATGATTGGTGGCTCAGCCACTCCAGGCTCATTAGAGACGAGTACTGGCACCAGCAGTTCTGAATTCAGGCCCCCCTTTGATCCTAATTTGAATTTTACTTCCACCCAACCTGCAAAGGGAATGGGGGTCTGATTTGCTGCTTTTCCAACCAAAGTCTCTCCCTCCTCTAGGAGCTCACCTGTGCTGCGTAACTTGATGTGGGGAAGCTGGGATCTCCTCAAGCTTTCATTTATGATGGTGACCTGTGAGCCGGTATCCCACAACGCCTTGGTTGGAACATCCTCGAAGAAGCAGTCCACCATACACTTATTTCCTATTAGAGCTCTCAGCTTGGTGTGATGATGTACGGAGAGGTGACTGGCATATGTGGAACCTATGATTTTTTTTGCTTTCTCATCCATTTCCACTTGCTCCTCCAGCTGTTTAATTCGTTCACAGAGCCTCTCATACACCTTTTCCTCAGCTTCTCCTTGCAGCACCGTGTGTTGTTGTGAGTGTGTGGAGGTCTGCATGTTCACATTCATGCCATCGGGTTTCACAGTCATCCTTTTTGGTCCCCTGCAACCCCTAGAGAAGTGTCCCAATTGTCCACACTTAAAACAATGTTCACATTGATCACTTTTGTTGTGCTCTTCACATCCTTTGCATCCCCTTTTAACATTCCTTCTTGCTTGGTGAATAGACGGAGAGCTGGTCATGCTTTTCTTGATTTCAGCGATTTCTTCTCGGAGCAGTCTTACTGTTTCACATAGCTCTGACTCCCTTGAACTGATGGGTGCTGATGTTTTACGGGTTTTTTGCTTCACCACTTCAGCTGACTGTTCTTGGATTGCCAAACTGGCATTAGATGCAGCCTGGTTTTGCTGTCTGAACTGCATTTCTGTTTGTAGCTCGTTGACTTTTGGAGTTTTAGTGTTGTAGCTTTTCCTCTGTTTGGACTGTCGTTCTGAATCCACACTTGCAGCCTCATTCATCTTTTCAATAAGAGTCTCATCTGTCACAGCTTGATCATCAAGGTAAGGCTTCAGCTGAAACTTTATGTTGTCACTCAACAGTCCAGTACTGACTGACCTCAGGAATTTCCTCTGAATGAAGTCGGCGCTGTACTGTTCATCTGGATCTACTTCTCTTGAAGCAAGAAGCAGCCTCTCTTTCAGTTCGATTGCCCTGAAGAGGAAGTTTTGGGGGGATTCCCGACTGTCCTGGGTGATATTTATCAGTCTTTGGTAGATATCCATGGAACTATCCTCTTTAAAATGTCCCTTTAGAATTGCTTTCAGCTGGGGCAGAGTAAGATCACGTTTAATTTCGAGCATGTCACGAATGCTCAAACCAGGGCTGATTGATTTGATTACAGCTTCTATTATTTCAACATCACTATGTCCTTTACTCCGGCCTCTCTCAATTTGATGCATTAAGTTTGTGTACGAGAGCCTGTCTTTCTGACCTCTCTCCCCTATCTGACCACATATTTTAAATTCCCTCCGTATGGTCACTTCTGGAAGCCCATTTGCTGTGGTCGGCATCACATTTTCAACCACTGTTCTCTGAGGCTTACCCCTTATAAGTTCATTTAGCCTCCGTACTTCCTCCTGCAACGCTTGGTTGTTAAGGTGGAGCTGTGAGTACTTTTCGGCCAAGTCCATTTGTTCCGTTACAACCTGGGTGCTTTGTGGTGTGTTGCACGTTGCCTCCCCCTCAGCAGGAACTTCAGAATGTTGCGATATCTGTTCAATTGATTTTAACATTCTCTGCAGATAGCACCGCACCACCTCCTCCTCTTCATTGTTAACCGTAGCATCAATGGACTCTGTTATTAATCGTATTAATGCTCGCCTCGTTACAGAATGTCCACTTTGGATTTTAGCTTCTGCACACACCTCTTTGAGCTGATCCAACTGCAAGAGCCATAGCTGTTGAGAGACGGTCTCTGCCAACTCCTCCATGTCGGTCGCGCGCGGTGTAAGCGTGCTCCCGCCGCTACTTGCTCCAGTTAGCATCCCTCCACGAGAGTCCCGCGACGAAGCGTTAATAGATCTCGGTGGAACCTCCAATATTTTGTTGCACACTCGAACAGAAGTGGTGTCGAGACATGCGGCGGTTGTAAATTTCCTTTACTTCCTTTTTTCTGAACATACAAAACACGTTCATCGATCCGTGCGTTACACTATAGCGGTTACATTCGCCATCTTCTTCTTCTTCTTAACTTAGGACCCTTCCTGCCCGAGGCTGCCCTAAGCGCCTGTTAGAAACTGATCACTGTCCAAACTTGTTTCACTCTCAGTCCGAATAGCTACCAACATACACGTGAATATTCCGCTAAACATGGTCAATGAAACAGTATTTTTTAATAAAACAAAACATTCATAGGAACAGAGAATAGACTCATATTTTAATGGAAGGAGGGGGTGGGGGGTTCCTTGATCCAAAGTCCTCAGTCCTCAGCAACTGATCCCCCACACTACAAACGGTTTGTCTCGCTTTTCTCTGCTCTCGCCAAGAAAATGGCTGGGTTGAGGCAGGAAACGACAAGTAAAATAGATACTGAAATCTCCTTAAAAAAAAAAAAAAAAAAAAGTGGCTGGTTGAGACCAGAACACCAGACTGAAGCTTTTTGTCATCCGGTCTTTGGTGGAAAAAGAGACAAATACGAGAAAAATAAACAATCAAGTAGATAGAAATGATGAAGCTCCTTTTAATTTATCGTGCGATTAACTGATTATCACAACCCACTTTTAGCTGGTGGAGAAATACACTAAAAGACGTTAAGCAAAAAAAATTCAAATTACTGACTCAGGGCGACTGAATGCTGCGCTTCTTCAAATAAAATCTGAAAACCATCGATCATTTTCTCTCCATTCAGTAATTATGCTGTTTGGAAGTTATAAAATGAAAAGGTTCGAGGTGTGTGAACACTTGAGCTCGTGTTTTATTTATCAAAGCATCAGCTCACACGAGTGCAAACAGTTCAGCGGCTCCTTTTGTCTGTCAGACTTGAATAAAACAAATAGTTTTGTTTGTAAAAAAAAAAAAAAAATTGTCTGCTCCATGCACAATAAAGAGAATAACTGATCTGACGTGCGTCCTTCTCATGTCTCCCCGCAGCACATCTGCTGTGACTGTAAGAAGAGCTTCTGCGCCCTTTGCTCGGTGCTGCAGGAAAACCTGCGCTGCTGCACGACCTGCCACCTGCTGCGCGGCACGGCCTTCCAGCGGCCGCGCCTCATGCAGCTGCGGGTCAAAGACCTGCGGCAGTACCTGCTGCTGCGCAACATCCCCACCGACACCTGCAGGGAGAAGGAGGACCTGGTCGACCTGGTGCTCTGCCACCAGGGGATGCGGGAGACTCCAAGGCCCGTGATGGAGGAGGAGGAGGAGGAGGAGGAGGAGGAGGACGAGGAGGACGAGGACGACGACACGTGCGGCGACGAGGAAGAGGATGGGGGAGAAGACACAGACAGCCTCCACTCGCTCCCCCACTCGCGTGCGGCGTCGCCGCCCTCCGCAACGCGCTCCGCCTCCGAACAGTCGGTCCTGTCTGCCTCTCAGGGGGAAGCGCTCAGCCCGAGTGACAGTTCAGGGACCCCCAGCCAGGTTGGTGCCGCGCGCTCCACCCAAACATCCATCCCTCACCGACATACGCCGCACTTCCTGCACATCTGTCCTCATTCTATCCACAGTAATTAATTTCAAGGGGGAAACAAACTTATTTACAAGCTCTTCACAGTGGCTGTTTGAAGTCGCACAAGCAGTCGCCCCTCGCGTGCAAAACTGAGCCCGAGTCAAGCCCGAAAAAATCCTTTTCCTTTTCCCGTTTTCCCGGGGTTTTCAGGGTCCAACTGGAAGCAGCTGTGTTTGCGTTGCGTCAGTGTGCAGAGCCCTCAGTCGGGCCAGTGAGGCAGCTTAAACCGTTTGCCTTTTATAGGTCTGTTACATGAACTGATGCCGTTACGTAACAATCACAGAAGTTAAACTCGCCTCATGCGTTGCTGCTGAAGCCGGGGAATAGAAACACCGCGTCCCGTCGCTCCTGTCAGTGGATGTCTGCATGTTGTAAAGGGGCTTTAATCCTCAGACCTGGAAACAAACATACTTGACCTAATTATGTTCACTGAAACAAAATTAGTGAACAGTCGGGCCGTCGACTTCAATCCTCCTGCTGGTTAAAACTGTGGTCGCTGTGATAGAGACGTGCTTTCCTTTGCTTTTTTTTTCACATTTACATGTTTCAGATGATCAAACAGATATTATTATTATTAGACAAAGAGTAAATGCAAAAGGTGGTTTTCAAACTATGTTTTTATTTGTTGTTTAAGCTCAAACTGGAATCAAAGACTAATAAGTCAAAAGTTTTTGGGCAGAAGAATTGTGTGACATGGCTGGTGGAGATCTCAAACATCTTCCAAATGCTGATTACACTTTGTTAGTTTGTTTTTTTGTTTGTTTGTTTTTTTGTTTTTTTACGGCATCTTCCATCAGATGACGTTTGTTTCTGCGTTTATTTATCTTCCATCGCTGGTTGTGTAGCATTCAAACTGTTCTGCTCGGCAACTTTTTCGTTCTTTTATAAGTGCTTACTACTAGTTCCGTTTTTTTTTTGTTGTTGTTTTTTGTTTAAATAATCTGTGCAAAAACCAACTCGTAATCACAGAAACCATGTGATCCAGAAGGTTTGGCTGTTTGACTGAGTGGAGCTGCTGCCGGCGTCTCGGAGGAGTCTCCTCCGGGCGCGCCGCCACGCTGATGGATGCATTATTAAAACGTCTTCATTAGAGGACGACGGAGGTCTGCTGGAATGTGCTGAGGCACAGAAAGAACGAGACAGTTTTGTCTTATTGCACTGAGGTGGAAACAATAAACTGCGTCACATTAGACGTTACAGGCTCGCTTTTGTCAAGGAGATAAAAAGAGGACAAAAGCGGATGATTGGCTGATACAACGCTCAGAAACAGATCAGCTGCTTTTGTTGCAGTTTAAATTCAGTAAGTGGAAGGTTAAAGTAGTAGTTAACCTTCTGGTCGTCAAATAGCGAAATCTTCTTTTTGTAGAAGAATGTAGCCAGACGACATCTGTGTATTATCTGTGTTACTCAACACAAGGAAAGTTAAGCTGTTTGATTGTACATCATGTTATTGTCGGAGTTTGATTTTAATTACAATTTTATCGTCAGAACGAAACATTATCATCTTTCCAGTCGGAAAGGAATGATTTTTAACCCAGTCTTTAAGCTTAACAAACATTCAAGATTCACTTTCGTTCTGCAGCTGCAATCACAAGGTTATTTATTTCCCTCCAATATCCAAATTGACCACTACTGTGTTTGTAACACTTAAATATTAGTCACACTTAATTTGCATAAAATAGTCGTCAAACTTTGACATTTATTTTATTGCGTCAAAGAAATCATGTCATAATTATTCTCTGCAATCAGAATGAAGCTTGCAGCTGAATTACCGTGCGTACATTCGCGACTAGTACAACGTCCTGCGACAAATTAGAAATAGAAAACTTCTGGCTCTGTTTTCTATGCTTAATGTTTTTGTCTCAAAGAAAGACTTTGTCTTTCTGCAGTTCTCTTTAGGCTCTGGTTCAAAAATGTCATCTTCTCTTTTGTCAGAATTTAAAATCAGAAAGTTTTGTGTCATCCAGATTCTCGGGCTCTCAAGACCATAATCTGCCTAACGAATTGGATTCATCAGTGACTTTTATTCATGATTTAACAAGTGGGATGATTTCTTTTTGACGTAAGCCCAGATGTGTTTGGATAGCTATTATTTCTCAGCATATTAAATCATCATTTGGAAACTGTATTCTGGTTTTACTCTCGTTATTTTTGTCAGATGTTAACCTTTATTTGTTTAATCTAAAACACATAAGTTAGACAAAAACAGCAAACAAAATAGAGGAAGTCTGCAATACTGTTGACTGATTAGGAGCAACTGCAAGTCTGTTTATTAATGAGTAACAAGTCGCCAGGTATTTCGCACTGCAAAAACCATGTTAGACTTTAAAAAGGTGAAACGCCACTAAGAGCCAATCAAATGTTTGAAAAGCCATTTAGGAAGCGAAGAAAAAATGCAGATTTTCTGTCAGTTCTTGACCAATCCTGTCCACGTTGGAACCGTTACGTCCAGCAGGTTTCCATAAATTAACCAGAAGGACTCTTGCAAACAGCTGGAGGCAATTTGTTTATTAAAAATTTAGACTGAAGCGTTGCCATGTTTTCTCCTTCACTGCGAGAATGTTGAAGAACTCTTTTTTTTTTTTGGAGAGCAAAGTGAATAAATCCGTTCACATGAAAGCTGTTTCATAATGGGTTGGGGCTTGGGAAGAAATCACATCTCTTCCTGTTTGTGTGTAGTCTCTAAACGGCAGCTTTCACCGAAATCAAACGGTTTCATTGAACTATCCGACCAATGAAATACTCTTGTCATGCCTAATGCTTCAGGGCTTCCTCTCATTTGGCGTGAGATGAGATTCAGGCAGTGTGAACGAAAGACATAATCACAACAGAGGAAGAAATATTTCCTCTGGAGGTATTTTTCTTCAGCCCTCGTGGGCGTTTTGAGGCATCAAAATGCTGATTATGCTGATGACTGTGCGGTCAGTTTGAAAGCTAACGGACATTTCACTCCCACAGGAGCACGAGGAGACCCCGACGGCTTCCCTTTTGAACCTGGAGCCTGCTGAAAACATCTTAGAGGTTCGCTGGCTGCGTTCATATTTGCCCGATTCTTATCGCAGACGTCTTTGTTGGGGGAAAAATAAAATGAAAATCTGCGATTAACAGCTGCGCTCCCGTGGGGATTTGCAGGTCAGCCCAGCGACGCAGAGGAGGATCAGGGCTTCGCTGTCTGATCTCGACAACGAGGAGGCCATAGAGAACCTCTCCGTCCGCCAGCTAAAAGAAATCCTCGCCAGAAACTTTGTCAATTATTCCGGCTGCTGCGAGAAGTGGGAGCTGCTGGATCGAGTTCATCGGCTCTACAGGGAAAACGAGCAGAACAGGAAATCCAGTAAGGACTCTGAAGTTCATTTTATTGCGTTGATCATTAACCATAATGCCTGACTAAATTTATCCTTTTTTTTTTGTTTTCGTACTATCCTTTAGTGGAAAACGTCAGCATAACCGCAGGTAAATATTTTTTGGATTATTGCATTTTTTTTTATGATAATTGATTGTTTTTGGTTAAATCAGGAATAAGCGCCTTGCGAAAGTATTCACATCTCTTCAACTATTTCATATTTTACCACTTTTTGCACAGATTCTTCATTGTATTTTATTACAATTTTACATTAAAAAAACAACACGAATTGGAGCATAATTGTGAAATGGAACAGAAAGACACGTGGATAAAAGATTTTACAAATAAAAATTACGTTTATTTTCATCCTCCGTGAGTCCAAACGTATTGAAATATCCTGTTTTATCGTCACGGCTGCAGCTGTTTTTAAAACACTTTCCCATTTCTTCTTTGTCAAGTTTGGATGAAGAGCAGCTGTTTGCGTTACGCTTGTCACAGATTCTCATGTGGATCCGAACACAGCATGATGCTGTCACCACCGTGTTTCACAGTGGGAATAATGTGTTCAGGATGGTGTGCAGTGTTATTGTTGCTGACACACGTGGCCTTTAATAGTAGGTCAAATGTTACGTTTTGATCTTATCTGACCTGAGCGCCCTGTTTGCTGTCCTCCCTACAGCAAACTGGACACAGGACTATTTATGGCCGTAAAGGCTCCATTTGAAGTGCATGACTCTTCTCACTCTGCTCCTTTCAGAGTCATCACGGTCCACTTGACTGTTTTCCTCGCTGGCAAGTGGCAACACAGTCAGAACCTATGATGCCGTTTTAAAATGTAACCCTGCTTTAAGCTTCTTCATAGCTTGACCTGTCTGCTGTTTTTATTGTGCTTCGTGAAGCTGTTTGTCCATTAGACGACTAGCGAATTCAAATGGTTTCACCTGATTTTATTTACACAAATCCACGCCATACTTTACAGTTTTTGTCTTTGGAAAAATGATACCATGTGTTGTTTTCTTTTCCACTTTATAATTGTGAAGTTCTTTTTGTTTACGAATCATAAAATCCCAAAAGAATACGCCGATGTCAAAAAAAAAAAAAGTTGACACGTGAATACTTTTGCGAGGCATCGTAAAATACGAAGCAAATAAAACATTACCGTACAACTGTACATTGATTTTGATTTCCACTAAAGAACAGACTCGCTATTCCCGAAACTAATTGATTTTCACTATTGCTGCCCGTTCTTATGTGTGAAGTGGTTGCATATCCTCCACCTCTTTGCAACAGTGGAGTTGGAGGTAAGATAATAACTGAGCTAACTTTTTTCATTTCCTTCACAAACCGCTGTGCAGACGCAGTAAAGGCATGCTGCAGCCATTTGTTTTGCTCATGTGATCCTTTCCATCCTGCTATGGACATCGACTCCTGCCTGCTTCTGTGTTTCCACATTTCATGTGTCTTCCCCACTCTGCGCCATCTCCTGTAATTCTGAAGGACAGCCTCTCGTTCTGTCATTAATGCGCCCTATTAGAGCTTTTAACTCTTGACGAGCAATCATATTACTGCAGCAGCAGCAGCATGTCTCCATCAGGTGTAATTACATTGTCAAGCATCTCGGCCGACACGAAGGCCTCCAGGACCTTATTAGCCCACTTTGCGTCCAGCTGCAGGGAGGCAGGCGGGTCGCAGCTGCATCGACGTTTCGCCCGTCACGGCAGCGGGAGTCGGATTTAGGCCAGCCGGCCGATCGCTCAGCGTTTGACTCCCATAAGTCAGCGCTCTGACACGATTTAACATGATTTGATGCCTGTAGTTTCTCCTCCTTAGCCGGGATTGAACAAGAGGGAAACGCTCCCTCCAACTGGAGCATAAAAACTGTCGGAGTTTAATCAAATCAGGAGGAAGCTGCTCGACAAATAATTACAGAAATAGCTTGCAGGATTTGAGTGGCGTGTAGAAACGAAAGAGCAGATTGGTGCTGGCTAAAAGGCGGAAGAGGAAAACAGAAAAGATAATAAGAAACTGAAATGTAAATATAGATTTGTTGATGGGGCTGCAGCGTTGAAAAATATGTAGTGTATGGATTTATTTCCTCTAGAACTGAGAAACTCAGTGTAAAACATAAAATGTGTAATGATGTTATATCAACCTATGAGATTCATATTAAAATGCAAGTAAAAATATTATCTTAGTTTCGTGTCGTAAAGTAAAGATTAAGTTTGTTCTCCCATTTATGTTCTGTTTTTAACTTTTTTTGTAAAGCAAATCGATTCTTTGTGCACTGAAGCTGCACAGTAGATAAAAATACAATTGCAATCGTAATTTTAATGTTTGCAACACCACAATCACGGAAGACTACATGGATCCAGCAGTTTTTCTGTATAAAATTGTAGGTGCCATGAGTTCTTAGTTATCAAGATACTGAAGCTGACGAGTTGAGGTCACTGTGATGAGAGGAAAGGAAAGAGAAAAGTGGAAAAACTCAATTTGTGTAGAGCTTTTCTCGTCATTCTGACCATTCAAAGCACTTTACAGTCACATTCACCCAATTCCACTAACAAATTCTTGCACCAAAACACTGATGGGCTGCATATTGGCGTGTGACTGTATGTGGAATCAAGCCCACAACCTTTCGACTGCAATACGCACTGATCCACATTCTGTTGCACCATGAGACTTCATTGATTCATTGGTTTTCTATCGATTCAAAGTCATGCTGAGATTAAACTTGTAATGAACACTGGCTCTAAATTAAAAAAATAAATACATAAATTTACAGGTGAATAACAACCAACAGATGCCGTCAGTCTCATCTGTTTCCTTGACAGATGTTTTGTTTCATCAGGAGTTATCTGACACATCATTTTACTTTTTGCATTAAATTCGCTGCTTGCTGATGCTGATGATGTTTTTATACGTCACTGATGTTCGCTGTCTGTTTTGATGCGACTTGTTGAAAACGCGGCTTGCAACACGTGAAGCTCAAGTTAATTTTCTTCAGGAAAAACGAATCTTGTGCTTCATGATCTTAACAATGTGCCATCCATCCATCCATCCATCCATCCATCCATCCATCCATCCATCTATCCATCCATCCATCCATCCATCCATCCATCCATCCATCCATCCATCCATCCATCCGACAGGTTGCCATTTTTTCACAGTTTTAAAGCATTTAAATTACAATTACAGAATGTGAAAAAATTTGTTGTAGTTTAAGTTAAATCCGTTTTGATGCTGCAGAGGAAGACCACTGATGAAACCAGTTTTATATTTATAATCTGATGTGCTGTCAGGAAATCAACAAAGTATTAACTTGAAATAACAACAAAAAAAAAAAACACAAAAAGACAATCTGAATCAAAACTGTCTTCACAGAAGACGAATAAACCTACAAATCAAAACACAAAAAATCTACATCCACTAACAAGATTAAGAAGTTCTGTTACAAAAGTCTGTTTTAGGGTTTCTCTTCAAAAGATAAGAGGAAAAAAAATTAGATTTCGACTTACTATATTCTCATTGCACAAAACTTGGCAACAAAATGTAGTTGCTTGGTCACCAGAGTACACAGGAAAAATCCTGAAAAACCATAGCTTTAACTACACATAGATATATATACAATTGTTATTGATGCGGGTCAGAAAAAAGAACAACAAAATGATGCAGCAACATAACCTATCACACCTCCAGGGAAAACATTTGAGAGTTACAGAGGCTGAAAAGAGGCCGTGAATAAATCAGCTGATCTCTGATCTATGTGCAGCTCAACGCGTGTGACGCTTCCCGTCTCCCTCCACAGATGGTGTCCGAGCTCAGCTGGCGGCGGACGAAAACCTTTGTCGCATCTGCATGGACGCCATCATCGACTGCGTGCTGCTTGAGTGCGGCCACATGGTGACCTGCACCAAATGCGGAAAGAGGATGAGCGAGTGCCCCATCTGCAGGCAGTACGTGGTGCGGGCCGTGCATGTATTCAAGTCCTAAAACTGAAATTGTTTTTTTTTTTTTTTCCCGTTGCGTCGGAGCGCGCGTGGCCCTGGATTTAGCACGGAGGAGGAACCCGATGCTGCAACAATTGTGAAAGGATTTTTGTTTTTTCCAGACTAGACTGTTGCCTCTGGCCTACATTCCCCCCACCACCTTACTGACTGGTCCCACCCGTCCTCCGGCCGCGCCAGGTCTCCCGCTCTGCACAGCAGACACCGTCACGACTCTCTGCTTTAAATCCTTACTTGTGGGAGGCAAGAGGAGGTGGTTCTGTGGACGCTTTGAGAGGGTCTGTGGCGATAGATTTGAGATCCCAGGGTTTTAGAGTCGATAAGGTTTACACTGTCATGCCACATGGCACTGTGTGATCTCCCTCAGTGTTCATTAGGATGTGCAATATCAGAGAAAAAGACTTTGTGCGTGCGTGTTGTTAGGAAAAGAGACATCCGCCACCGCATCCATCACACACAAGGGCGCGTGTAGGGTGCCAAACGACATGCCTTCACAGGATGTTTGGGTTAAGATCTCACAGTATGCATCTCATAACCAGCAAGCTTGGTTTTAATAGTTTACTTTTATTTATTTATTTATTTTTTCCAGATCAACAAAGTGTGGACACGTTTTCCTGGTAATTCATTCCAACAAAAAAATTAATAAATCTGAAGTCAAACCCAACTTTACCTGGACCACGTCTCAGAAAATGTTTCTATTAGCAAGCTTGCAACAATTTGAAAGCTCTGCGTAGTTTATGGTTGTTCCTTTGGGAAATACAGGAGAGACTTACCCTCTGGCTTTTGATCATGCTGTCATCTACGGTGCCTTGCAAAAATATTCATATCCTTGAACCTTTTTTCTAGGCCCCGACAATAACCACAAAACTCATTGTATTTCGATGGGATTTTGTGTGATTGGCCAACATCAAAGTAAGCACGTCAGTGGAAAAGTGGAAAGAAAATGATTTCAATTGTCTTGTCCATTTCCTGAAGAGCCTGCAGTAAAAAATATCAGATTTTAAGGAAGAATATTCCTGGTCAAATGAGACCAAAAATAAGACATCTTTGGGAGGAGGCTTAAAGTCGGCAGGGTAAGGGAAGATGGACGGAGCTAAATAGAGGAAATACTGGGATAAAAGCTACTAGAAGCTGCAAAGAAATCAAGCAGAACAACAACAACAACAACCCTGAACCTTCAGATCAAAACCTTCTGTTTGGACCTGAACGTTCAAAACAGTTCAGATCAAAGACTTAAATCAAAGACTTGAAAATTAATGTGGAAAAAAAAAGGAATGGGCAAATATTTTAGTTGCTACTACTTTGTGCTGGTCTGTCACAAAAAAATCTGTTTGTGGTTGCAACGTAATAAAATGTGAAAAAGTTCTAGGGCATGAAAACTTTTGCAAATCATCTTAAAACCTTCACCGTCTTCTTCCGCTAACCGTGCTTCTTTATGGTTCCATCCTAGCTAATCAGGTGCTATTTCCTCATTTATCACTGTTAGATCATCAACATGATTTTTTTCCTTTTGTCTCGTGGTCCTACGTTTTACAACACAGAGGTAGCTGTATTTACTTTAACCTGTTATGCAAATGAAACACTTTCATGTGGAAAGAGGCAGTTAAATCTGTTTCGAAGTACTTTGCAGCAAACTGAATAGATCTCATCGTTAGCTTCTGTTGTTCATCGATAAGTTACGGATGTTTTCTTGTAAGAAATATGATTTAAAAAAAAAAAAGAAAGAAAAGAAAAACTCCACTGAGGAGAGAGGGTTGAGAATTTTCCAGAATGTATTCTCACTGCGTCACCGTCTCTCTCTCTCTCTCTCTCTTTGTTTGGCGCGTTTCTGTCACCAAACAACTGAATCTGTTGAACACCATTTCCACTGTAACTCTGTAGGTCCTGTTGTTGAAGCTGCTGTTTGTCGAAGATGTCATTCACGGGCAGCTACGGTGATATCAGACTGGGAGAGCACTCATATTCACAGATATTTATATTCTGAATGTTGAACCTTTTTATTTTGGTTAACAGGAGATTAAAAAAAAAGGATTTATTAGATTCAATAAAATGCAGTATTACAAACCACAAGGTTTAAAGTCTGCTATTCATTTCTCTGTAGAGTTCATTTAATTATCAGCATTAAATCAAACGTCAATATTAAAAAAAACTAAATAAATTGGTGCACAAGTTTGAGTTGATGATTATTTATGCCTGTTTTCATTTATCTCAAACAAATGTTTGTTATAATCTTAATAAATAGAAAAAATAGACAATATATTGGCCCTAACCAACCCAATCCTATGTAAAAAATAAATAAATGTATAAATAATTGTTCCCAAGTTATGATTTGTGAAACCTTTAGACAAAAAATGAAAATTTAAGACCTCATTGTTCATAGTGAATTTAATATCTCAAAGATTTTCTATAAGATTTACACGTATGTTTTGAACAGATAGACTGATCTAAGGTAATATACAAAAAAATCTCACAGAGACAGTCTTTTAAAAAATGAATCTTTAAAAGTAATGCTGCTAAACTGTAAACATAGACTGACATTTTATAAAAACAAAATCTTTCCACAAAAAGGAGAACCGTTTCAAAAAAGAAAAACAAAATACAGTTTGCATGAAAACTAAAATTGTTCAGTGTTACAAACCAAAAGCAAATGTAAAATACACTTCTGTAAAATGTTGCAAATAAAGAAGTATTTTGTTAATATATTTGTTCCCACATGATAAACGGTAATACGTCTCTTGGTGTTAAAGATAAAAGAGATCATAAAGTAAAACCTTGAAACTTATCCTCAGACCAATGTGCTTGGCTGTCATGAATTTAGCATGAATATTTATTTATTTATTTATTTATTTGAAAGCTTCAACTGCAGCAGATGGAAACCAAATCTGCCTTAATGCTGAAATCCAGAATAATCATACTTTTGGAATAAAAGTGAATGAAAAACCGCCTTGTTGGTTTATTATTTAAAATGACGGTTTCATACATACTTTAGACAAATTACTTTCCTTTCTATTTTATTTTATTTTTCAGTCTTTGCAGATTAATATGATTCAGCACTGCTTATTTTAACCTAAGGGGCTCCACTAAGGCCTAGATTTAGTAATGTCAAAATATTATTAAATCTAAAGATGGATGTAAACATTTCTTTGCCGCATGCAGAGCTAAAGCGCTTTCGTCTAGAAAGCTCCAGCAGGAGAGGTGGCAGAGAGGCGACTGCTCACTGACGTCTTAATGCAGAGCCACCGAGTCGAACGCAAGCAGTCGGTAAAATTACTCAGCAGAATGTTTTAGTGTTGAAAAAATAGGCTTTATACACTGTACAACGTAGCGTATGCAGGAATACATTCGTGTATTCGTGTGTACCTCATGAGTGCAAATAAGTTTTAAGCTTTGAAACATACATACAGGTACAGTACCTGATCCAAATATGGTCTTTATATTGGAAAACTTTTTGTCTTTTTTCTTTTTACAGTAGCTTTATCTAATAGAAGAAGAAAAAAACAGATCCAGGCACATTCAATAAAGTGTAAAAACAACCGTACAAACACTAATTACCTTCCCAACAACTGATTTTTGCCGTAACTCCACAGAGCTGAACAACAATGCCAACTGATTATCTTTTTTTTTTTTTTTTCCTTGTTTTGGCAATATGATACTATACACTGGTGCATTTTATATTGCACGTAAATGTAAGAAAGACTTTCTGATACAAAAATAGTGATTTATAATGCAAAGGTTATTGCATTGGAGCAAAATAGTCTATAAACACCGAAGGATAGCTGTGATAGAATATGCAAACAGTTTATCAATAAATAAGTCATAAACAGGCGCCAACAACAAAAAACATTTAATGTAATATTGCCATAGCTGGACGGGACCTCCATTTTTACATTCTGGCTCAGCAGCACGTCAGTTTCCAGACGTATTTACCGTCCGCCTGTCGGTCCTGCGTCTCCGTCACAAAGCCGTCTGCTGCCTCCAAGTGGACGGTAGTTTTATCACAGTCTCTCCCGCTCCTAGCTGATCTTCTGCAGCAGTTTGTCCTCTATGAGCTCAAACTGAACACTGACCGACATCTCGGCGACGAACTGGTCACAGCCCTCCTTGGTCACCTGTTTGCAGTAGCGCAAGTCGATGTGACAGATGCTTCCACAGCGCTTGAAATAGGTCAGCGACTGGTCGGTGACCCTGTTACAGACTGCAAAGGGAGGGAGGGAGGCGCAGGGTGAGAAATCAGAAAAAAGGTGCAGAAGTGTTCTGACATGAAGGATATATGTGCATGTCTTGTGATGACCTGATTTTGGTTTTAAGGCTAGAGCTGTACTTAAAAAGTCCACGTATTTTAAAGGTTACAAGGTTCCCGAGACCCTTAGAGGAGAAACGGGCCCACAGCATTACAGAACTTTCACCGTACAAAACAGTTCGCCAAAGGTGCTCATTCACACATTCTGATAATCATTTGTTACTAAAAAGCTCAATTCAATTAAATCCTATTTATTTTATGTTTATCTTTGTGATGGTAGGACAAAAAAAGATTACTTCCTGGCTTAAAGATATTGCTTAATTAAAACTTGGGAATCCCAAGATGCCACTTTCTAGACTTATAGATGAACTAAACTAAATTAAACTAGCAGATAGGATTTTAAAAAATGCTTGACTTAAACTTCCTTCATCGTAAATGTCAGTGTTGTCAACAATAGTAGCACTAGTGACTTTGTTAAGAAAACATTTCCACAGATATTAACATCGAGGAGAATCTGACTCTGACTAGAAAGTTCTTAATGAACTAAATTCTGTTTCTGGATAATTCACTTTGTTTGCACTAAAACAACATCAATGCTCTCTTTCGATTTGATTTCTCAGAGTTCCTGGTGTTTAACATTTAACATGTTCATAAAATGAAACAAAATCTAATCTTTCAGTAGTTAATAGTTATCACACTATTTTTTATTTTACTTTTTTTTTAAATGATGTTTCACATTTTTCAGAAACATGTCAGTCAGCAGTGGCTCAAAATGCTCAAAAATATATATATATTTTTTTTAACCTCAATTCCAACTGACACGTTTGCTTAACTTATAAACCTAATATTTTAACTCACACGCCAGTGAACTGCATATGTGAAATAAGCTGAGATTTCCAGCCTGTAAAAGAGAGATTCTGGTACCTGACAGGTTGATGTCAGTGAGCGAGTCTCTGGTGGTTGTCCCTGCAGCGGTCAGGATGTTCACGGACTGGTCGGTGACATGGTTGCAGTAGCTGAGGTCCAGCTTCGATAACAGAGGCATGTAACGGATGATGAGGCACAGAGTCGTGTCGGTGATGTCCAGTCCGGCCAGCCGGAGCTCCTCCACGTTACGCAGCTTACTCCGGTTGTCCAGCTGACCTGGAGCATAATGAAAGGAACTTCAACATCTGAGGGAAATGATTAGGCTGGGTAACAACAGCGAGGATGTTCAGATGGTTCTGTGGAACCGATTTCTTAAGAAGCGTTGATACCTGGCCTGTTGTCTGTCGGCGGCGACAGTAAGTCTCTCATCTGGGCGTCTTTCAGGCCCTCGACCCACTGAACGTCCAGCGTTCGCAGCAGAGGACAGCTGGAGGTGCACAGGGCAGAGACGGCGACCCAGGAGCAGCCTGACAGGAGCAACACGCGCAAACCTGCAGGGCAAGAATTTAGAAATATATAGTTACATTTTGAGCACCTCCTCTTGTTTTCCTACAGGTACAGAAAAATATACTGCGTATCGAAGAGTCATTCTAAAGACATTGTTAGGATTTCCTGTGTAAACCAGCTCACATGCACGTCAGGCAGACTAACGGTGAGGGAGAGCCGTAACGATTCATAAACCTTTCCTACAGTAAAATAGTAAATAGTTTGCACAAAGTTGCTTCATGAAGTACATTATTTGATTCCCTTCATGAGAAAAAGCATTTACAATGATGATAACTTCTCTTCTCAGATTATTTAAAAATTGAGTTTGCTTCTTTTTGGTACATTTTTTCCCTACGCATAACTGAAGAGGCCCTGGACAGTCACTGTAAGTTTCCTCAACTTGCTCTCTGCAGGTTTGGTGTTGTTTTGACCCACAGAGGCACCGAGGTGAAGTTTTACATCTTCTTTATTTGACAACTTTTTGCCATGGCCGTGTCCCATGGTGCCTTCGCACAACAATCGCATCCCTGCAGCCTTTTCACATTTTGACAACACAACTGTTACAAACACATACTTATATCTATACTATTTGGATTTTGAGTGCGAGATCGACGTAAAGCAAGACAAAAAATACACACTTCTTTATATAAATAAAATCTGAAAATTGTGATATCCATTCGCATTCTACCTTTCGCTGCAATTACAACTGCAAGTGTTTTGGGGTCAAATTTGCACACCTGGAGACTTCATTTTTATCCGTTACAAATCCTTGGAAAAGCAAGTGTGTCGTAGTCGGGGTGTGTTCGTGTTTATATGGAGTGTTTGGTTTTGACTCGTCTGACCAGATTAGCTTCTTTTATGCGTTTGGCTTTATCCTTTAATCCCAATAAAATACATGAAAGTTTGTGATAATAACGTGGAAAAAATGTGGAAAAATACTACTGCAAGGAACTGCGTATCAGTGCACTCCCGGTTATTCAGGTGTGCACCAGTGTAGTTGGGGACATTGGTGTTTGTATCAAGACAAATGTTGCAGAGGTTCACAGTACGCAGCTTTAACCATGTTTGAGGTTTCACCGATGAGATTATGGAGCGCACATTTCATGGATAAAATCACATTCCTGGTTCCATTTATTAAATTCTCTGCATGCACAAGCAAAAAGTGCTTGTGCATGGTACAAAGTCAGGAGCTCCGCTGATGGAGTGCAGCGTTTTTGAAAGCAAAAACAGACACGGTATGAACCATCATTTGTTTCCCCTCTTCTGTAGTGTCTGCACAGTTTGACTAAAATGTGATTTGCTAACATAATGGGTAGGCCACAATTCGTCTTCACTTCAAGACAAATGTTTAGTGAGCTACTGTAA